TGTTATCCTTTTCTCTGATAGTGACCAGTCACATTCTACTGGTCACTATTTGTCTCACAGTTGTTGAAGTGGCTTTGCCAACTTAGCTAATCTAGAAACATAGTTTCCTGGGATTGCCTTCCCAATCTAGTTCTGAGTTAGAGTGGACCAGGAGAAAAATTGGGGCGGGGCTTGGGAAGTGGAAGTGAAGCAACAGATACTATGTTCTGAAGTTTGGTAGGACCAGACACTGTTACCACTGGTGTACACTGGCACTGACTGTGCCCTCAGTCACATCGGGGTCACCACCTGAGACGTAGGTCTCACCACCCGCGGAAGTCTGACCTGCAGATCCTGACTCAATGACGGATGGATGAATGTACTCTCACACCATTACAGAGTTTCAAGTGGGCTAGGGATGGCTGTTGGCTGCTTTCTGAGGGCAAAATGCAACCAATCAACGCAGACCCTCTGTCTGTGACACATTTATTCCCTCAAAATGCTACAACAGAGGTTCTAAGTTAACACACTTGTGGGATCATTAACATGGTTAAAAGAGTGGTTATATGAATGATAAAAGCTTTAGGCTCCAGGCCCAGAGTAAACACGATTAACAGGCAATTCTCCTTTGATCTCCCCCTGAGACGGCTACAGCACAAAATTAACATGAGTAAACAGTTGAGTGGAGACAAATGGGTGTGGGGAAGCAGACTTAACTGGGAAGGCCTTTGATCATCTGTATCTCTCCCTAACTTAATGGACTGGCCAGCCCACCTTTGGCCTGCCCCTGTAAAATCTTTTGGCCTTCCAAAAGGTCTGAGACAAATCTATAACTTTCCCTAATATATCTTTAATATTTTCTGTAATATCTTGCCAACCACCCCGAGTGAATTCCAACAACTGACCCACTGGCACACCTTGTTGGTGTGGGGAAGCAGCAGGCTGCAGCAACTCCAGCTCTGACAAGATCTCCTTCTGCAACTTCTCCAAGTCCTAGGTCAGATGTGTGCATACCTTCATGGCTGTGGATGCCAGCTCCTTCTCCAGGTTGGAGGCAGTAAGAGACAGATGCAGGTTCCAGTAAGTATTCACAGGTTTCAATCTGACCTAGGGATTCAAGTTAATCCTTGCAGGTTCAAGTTTGTTCTTGCTTTCCCCCACACCACATACACCACTTTTTCCCAACTGTGGGCCCTGAATATCTACAGTGACTTCAGGCTGCTATAAGTGCAGAGACAATAGCCTTCCATAGACTTCTTCCCCTGTGTAAGGTACATGGATGTGCTCTGGTCAAGGAATAGGCCAAGGTAGACATCCAGGCTTGCATGACTTAGCAAGTTTGGCATGCAGGCACACACCTCCACTTGTTACATAACCTGTTTGTGTAAATTCATACTTGGCTCTAACCCACTATTGTCTGTAAAAGGTGTAATTGTCTTGCTAATGTTGTACAGGGGTTCTTGGGGCTCGGCTCAGCTCAACATGGCTTAACATGGCGGACGTGCTGGTGCCCAGAGAGAGAGAGAGAGATCCAAAGCTGTCCATCTTGCAGACAGGAGGGAGCCAGGACACAGCTCGGCCTGCTCATGCCCAGAGAGAAAAAGAGTTAAGCTGCTGACCCTGAAGACAAAGGAGAGCCAGCCACACAGCTGTGTATGGAATCCGCCGGCTCAAGCAGCTGAGACAGGGCAGACAGTGAGAGAGCTAGTGTGAGAAAGCTGTTAATAAAAGCTGCTGCTGAATGAACCAAATTCACCTGCCTACGGCCCCCCAAGTGTTCTTTCTGCTCATCCACCCAGCCCTCCTCCATGGGCTGGACCTGAACGTCAGGACCTAACAAGTGGTGATGAGGTTGGGATGAGATGAGTGGGTCTTCAGCCCCTGAGGGTTCCCAGGTCAGCTTTGTGGCCGCAGCATGGGCTGTGATACCCGGTGGCAGCTGTGCTGCGAGGATGGGCTCCAGTGGAAACACGGGAGGCAGTGGGTGGGTCTCCTGTGAGTATGGAGAAGGCACGGAAGCACCTGGAAGTGCACAGCACTGAGAAGAAGCATGCCTTTGCTGTAGGAGTCAGATGGGCGTTTATAACTGTGCTGTGGGAAGAACATGCCCAGTCCTTTCCGGACACAGTGCAGGGAGGAGGAAGAACCTCCATAGCAGGCTCGCCCAGTGATCTACCACAAAATAGATCATGAGCAGCTATTGGGCCCCAAGGGTGGGCCCAGATGGGGAGCACGTGCTGTGGTGGAGCACGCTTCCTATGGTGCCTGTGCCCCTGCTGAGTTGAGGGAGTTAAGCAAGTAACACTGGCAGTCATGTACAGACTTAGTGCAAGTCATATGGGAGAAGTACCTTGCTGCGCAAACCGGTCCCGTCTGAGCATTCCTGTTCAAAGCGTGCCTGCTGCAGCTGGTGGAAGTGTAAAGCCTTTTCCGTTTGATAAGAGAACTGGCCAAGATGCCCAGCTTGGGGGGCACCAGACAATGGGAGCCACATGTGCACTTGGCAATCCACTGGTCCCTAAACCCGGCTAAGTTTCCGGGCAGAGCTGCATTTATTGACAACTATGAAAACTGGCCAGTGAAAGTGAAACCTGTATCTCTGCATCTTGGCATTGGCCGCTTGGCTCTCTGCTTATGCACTGTGTATGTCTCTCCCACCCATACCTGAAGACATTCTGGGGTGGCTGTTTTGCACGGCTTGGCAGCTGTGCCATCTATCACGGACTTAATAGACCACTTGACAATGGAACTGGGCAGTGCCACTGTGTGGTGGACTTGGCTAATGCATTCTTGTCAATCTACAATGTTCCAGAGAGTTAGGAACAGATTGCCTTCATGAGAGGGCAATAATGGACTTTCACAGTGTTGCTGCAGGGCTACTGTATAGCCCCACCATATGTTGTGGTTTTGTTAATAATGTTATGTTAACCTCTGATTCTCTTCCAGGTTTAAAAGCGGCAGTGCCCCTCTTGTCTGGGATTGGGGTGAGGAGGCTGAGACAGCCTTTGTAAACCAAGGGTGCCCATTTACACTAAGTGTACTTGTAACCACAGATAATTGTGGATAGGGCCTATAGCAGTGCATGGAGCAATTGGAAGCGCCAGTGGGCTGTTAGTCCCAACTGTGGAAAGAAGCTGAGCTCCGGTGCTTACTAATAGAAAAGCAGTTAGTAATAGTGGGATAGGTGTGTTCCTGGGCAATGAGCCCCCGGACAGGGACAGCACAGACATCCACTTTAGCGAAGAGGGGTGCCTACTTGAAACAGCGAAGTACACTAAGGACAAATCCCTTAGCAGCAAAATTGCAAGAGGTCTTGGGACCTGTAGTCCTAATGCAAGATAAGGCCATGGGGACTGAGGCACTCCTAGACCCTGAGACTTCACCATTAGGAAGGGCATCCCCTGATTCCCGATAGGGCATGGTATACAGCTAGGTCTAGCTGGGGTGCGACTGCTGCCTGGACTGCTGGTGCAGTCTAGCCTAGTACTGACACCATATGGTTTGAAACCAGGTGTGGGCAAAGCAGCTAATAAGCGAAAATCAGGGCAATATGAATGGTAATCACGAAGGAGGTGACACTTATGGTAATCTGTGCCAATAGGTGGGCAGTTTATCAAAGCTTATGTATGTAACGGGCCTGAGTGCCCAAAAGCTTATGTATGTATCAGGCCTGCATGCCCAAAGCTTGTGTGTCAGGCTTATGTGTCAAGCCTGTGTATGTATCAGGCCTGCATGCCCAAAATTTGTATGTCAGGCCTGTGTGCAAAACCTGTATATCAAACCAGTGTGCCCAAGGCCTAAGTTTCCATCAACCTAGGGGTAGAGTGTAAGTTGTATGGATGTGCTTTGGTAAAGGAATAAGCCAAGGTGGATATTCAGGCGTTCATGTCAGTGAGTTTGGCATGCAGACACACACCTCCACTTGTTACATAACCTGTTTGTGTAGGTTCATACTTGGTTCTAAACCACTATTGTCTATAAAAGGTATAATTGCCCTGCTAATGCTGTACAGGGGCTCTTGGGGCTCAGCTTGGCTCAGCATGGCTTAACATGGTGGTGGGTGTGTTGATGCCCAGAGAAAGACAGAGAGCCAAAACTGTCCGTCTTGCAGATGGATAGGAGGGAGCAAGGACACAGCTTGGCTTGCTCATGCCCAGAGAGAAAAAGAGTTAGGCTGCTGACCCTGAAGGCAAGGGAGAACCGGCCACACAGCTGTGTGTGGAATCCGCCGGCTCAAGCAGCCAAGACAGGGCAGACAGTGAGAGAGCTAATGTGAGAAAACTGTTAATAAAAGCTGCTGCTGAATGAAACCAAATTCATCTGCCTACACTCCCCCGAGTGTTCTTTCTGCTCATCCACCCCTCCGTCCGGACTTCAGCATGTGTTGGACGCAGACCCTGGGACCTGACACCCTGCTCCCACAATTGCATATGGTCTAATCCCTGTAATTATCCCTTAATTGCTTTTCACACTGCTGTGATCAAACTCTGCAACTGTGTTCAGGTGATTCTTATTTTACATTCAAATTTACAAATCAGACACAGGATTATAGACATTACGAAAAACATTCAATTTTGAAAAAAAAAAGAGATTTGCACATGACACTTAAGTAACCAATCTACTACCCTCACTTTCTTTTGGATGTCAAACTTCTTTAAATGGCACCCTAAGTTTATTGCAAAAGTATTTTTCTTCCTCTCATTTTCTCTGCAATTCCTTGAATATGACTCGTGCTTTAAAAACACTATTTTAATTCATCAGAAACTTATAAAACATCAAATCCAGATCTTAGTCTACTTTATTTCTTTGTACTCTTAACACTGTTGGCTACTCTCTGTTTTCCTCATTAAATTTGGTTTCATGGGTCTCAAATTTCTGTGACAGATTTTTGATCAAGTTATTTCCACTTGAAAAAAGTACTGATTTTAAAAACTAAAAAACTTAAAACTGCCAGATGCCAAAAAAAGTTCACAAAACATTCTCCTTTCCTTCTGAAGTTTTTACAATGCATTGTTATCATTAACCAGTCTTTTACTATTAAACTTAACTGGGCAATTGAAACAAACCGTTCTGAGACCCTTCCATCACTGATTAAAACTCAGGCCAGGCACCATGGCTCATGCCTGTACTCCCAACATTTTGGAAGGTTGAGGTGGGTGGATCACTTGAGCCCAGGAGTTTGAGACCAGCCTGGGCAATATAATAAGACCTAAACAGGCATGGTGGCACATGCCTGTAGTCCAGCTACTTGGGAGCCTGAGGCTAGAGGATTTCTTGAACCCAGGAGGCAGAGGTTGCAGTGAGTGGATATCATGCCACTGCACTCCAGCCAGGGCAACAGAGTAAGACTCTGTCTAAAAAAAAATAAATAAATAAAAATAAAGACCGAGGTGGCATGTATTAGGAATAATATATATTTAGCCTCCTGAGCTTTCTGGACAGACTTGGTGACCTTGCCAGCTCCAGCAGCCTTCTTGTCCTGTACTTTGATGACACCCATGGCAACGGTCTGTCTTGAACAGCAAAATGACCCAGAGGAGAATAGTCAGGATAGTCAGAATATTCAGAGAAGCTCTCAACACACATGGGCTTGCTAGGGACTATATCAATCATGGCAGCATCACCAGATTTCAAGAATTTATGGCCAAGTTCTAGTTTCTTACCAGAATGGTAATCTTTTCTTATAGCTCAGAACACTTGCAAGCAATGTGAGCTGCATGACAGTCCAGTACAGGGGCACAGCCAGCACCGATTTGGCCTAGATGGTTCAGGATAATCACCTGAGCAACAAAGCCAGATGCTTCCACTAGTGGGTCATTTTTGCTGTCACCAGCAACACTGCCATGATGAACATCTTTGGCAGACACATTATTTTTTTTTCTTAGAAAGAATGTAATGCTTGTTTTTAATCAGAACAACAGCAACAACAAAAAACTATGATATGCCAGTGTAGTGTTGAATCCAGCAATGGACACAAAGAGCAAATGCTTGACAGAGACAGCTGTAAATAATCTACGTACCTCCTACATCCCCCTACTTTATAAAAAAGATTCTCTTTGGAAATATGGTTATAAACGTAAATCACTGATTTCTTGCAAGACCACGATGATTCTGTAATAAATATCAAATTGGTCCATTTCAGATTTGTAAAAGGATTCTTTCAGATACGAAGATGTGGGAGCAACTGTGAAGCTGTATTTACTCAGAGACTTTGAAATATGAAGTGATGATCTTAGACCACCAAGAACTATAAGGCATGCCAACTGATGTTTATAACAACTTAGCCTTTTCATCCTTTATATCTGATTTTATTAAGTGGGCAAACACCTTGTTGACAATGAAGCCCACATTGTCCCCAGGAAAAGATTCACTCGAAGTTTCATGGTGCATTTCAATAGACTTTACTTGAATTCGAGCATTGACTGGCGCAAAGTTGACCACCATGCCAGGTTTGAGGACATCAGTCTCCACTCAGTCCACAGGTAAAGGACCAATACCAACAATCCTATAGGCATCCTGGAGATGCAGACACAGGGCTTATAAGTGGGATGAATTGGTGTAGAATACAGTCCACAGCCCCAAGCAGCGTGGTTCCACTAGCATTGCTATCTTTACAGGTGACTCCATTCCTAGAACCAAGGCACGTTAGCACTTGGCTCCAGCATGTTGTCACTATGCCAACCAGAAATTGGCACAAATGCTACTTTGTCAGGGTTGTAGCCAATTTTCTTAACATAAGTGCTGATTTCCTTGTACCTTGTCTGGTGGTAGGGTGGCTCGGTGGAATCCATTTTGTTAACACCAACATGTAGTTTCACATTCAGTGTGTAAGCCAGAAGGGCCTGCTCATGGGTCTGCCCATTCTTGGAGATGCCAGCTTCAAATTCACTGCCAGCAGCAATGAGCAATAATTAAGATAGCACAGTTAGCCTGAGATGTGTCTGTAGTCATGTTTTTTTTTTTTTTTTTTTTTTTTGAGACAGGGTCATGCTCTGTCCCCCAAGGTAGAGTGCAGTGGTGCAATCTCGGCTCACCTCCACCTCCACCTCCCAGGTTCAAGTGATTCTCCTGCCTTAGCCTCCCAAGTAGCTGGGATTACAGACACATGCCACCATGCCTGGATAATTTTTGTATTTTCATTAAAGATGGGGTTTCACCATGTTGGCCAGGCTGGTCTTAAACTCTTGACCTCAAGTGATTCGCCCGCCTCAGCCTTTTAAAGTGCTGGGATTACAGACGTAAGCCACCGCGCCTGTCCTGTAATTGTGTTTTTGATGAGGACTCTGTGTACTGGGGCATCAATGATAATCAGGTAGTACTTGCTGGTCTCAAATTTCCACAGGGAAATATCAGTGATGATACCATGTTCATGCTCAGCTTTCTGTTTATCCAACACCCAGGCATACTTGAAGGAGCCCTTTCATATCTCAGCAGCCTCCTTCTCAATTTTTCAGTGGCTCTTTTGTTGATGCCACTGCATTTGTAGATCAGATGGCCAGTAGTAGTGGACTTGCCTGCATCTTTATGCCCAGTGACGACAATATTGATATGAGTCTTTTCCTTTCCCATTTTGGTTTTTAGGGGTGGTTTTCAAGATAACCTATGTTCTGGCGGCAAACCCGTTGCAAAAAAGCTACTTTCTCTTTTCTGAATTTCTCTCTTCCCTTGGTTTCTATGACCAGCACTCTTTGGAATTTTCTTTGGAATCTCTCCAGCTGCTGCTCCCTGTCTCAGTATGCTCACTTCTCTTCTACCCAATCCTCAAGGTGTAGGAGGAGATGGTTGCTCAAAGTCCAGTTCTTGGCACTCCTGAATTCTCACTCTACCCTCTCTACCTTTATGATCCCCTCCACTCTAAAGGATTCACCCATCATCCCTTCACACTCATGATTTATAGATCTATGCCTTTATTTCAGCTCTCTCTCCTGAATGACAAGGTCGTGACTCTTATAGTCCATTTAGTTGCAGATGACTCTCAAATTCAACATGTGCAAACTGACCTATTTATTTACTATGACATGTTCCATGTCCCCTAAGTTGGATAGTGGCATTACAATTCTTCAGTTACTCATGTTTGAAACTTCAGAATTGGGGAGTTATGTCACCAAAGATGGCGTAGAAGCAATCTGTATTCACTCCCCTGACCACTGAAACCCAAGAACAACTATCCAGTGCCAAGTTTATCACCGCCAGTATTCCAGAACTGAAAACCAAAGCTGTGACAATCCCTGAGGCCACAGAGAAGTGAAAAACTATGAGCCGAAAGTGAGAGAAATGGACTTCTCTATCCACAGTGCCCCTCCCCCAAATTGCTAGGCACCACATGGAAAAGTCCTCCAAGACTCCTGGCTTCTACATTGGAAAAAGTGAAATCAAAGTGGACAGTCAGCTTCCCCATCATCTTGGGTTCCTATGCAAGAAAGCTGTTCCTGCCTCAACTCACAGGAAGCATCACAAGTGCCTCCACCTAAGGACAGGTGGAGACAAACCTTGGGAAGTGGGGCTACATGACCCAGCACCAGAAACTCGGGGGCTGCGCTCCACTCCAGAAAAACGGGACAGCAAATCAGAGACGCAGTTTAGCAGCACCACACTGTAGGAAGCACCCTGCAGGGAATCTCTGGGCACGAACCCATAGCCAGCCGCCTTGCTGCACGGCTGAGGAATCCCCTTTGGAATTTCCCCCCCGGTAATGGGCAGCACTTGGAGAGCTACAGAAAAACCTGTGCTTAGGGCGCCATCTAGTGCTCAAAAGAAGGCAGCACTCTAGGGCTAAGGGAATCAACGGGTAAATCGCACAGAACCTCTCAACACACAAACCAACTCAGGAAAGACTTGAAAAAAAAAAAAAAAAACTAAACTAATTTTTAAATGCTAAGACATAGATCTACATACATAAGAAAAACATCAAACAGTGGACGACGACCTCCCCAAATTGACAAAGCAAGAAGCCAGTGATTAACCCCAATGAGAGAGCAACATGTGAGCGCTCAGATAGCAAAATGACAGGAGTCAGATCAAGAATTCAAAATAGCAGTTTTGAAGATAATCAGCAATCTCCCAGTTAATACAGAGACGAAATTTAGAG